TCCTCTTCGTGCTCGTCTTCTGCGCCGGACTCTTGCCTCTCGGCGGTTGTTCGAGTCTCGGCCCTCTCGTCCATGTCGACTCCGCCCTCCATTGGTGCGCTTCGGTCGCCGGCCGTGGTGCAAGAACGATGTGCAGCTGGAATGCGAAAGGACTGGCAGCTCCTACGGCCGTGGTCAAGCGTGCTCGAATGTGCTCTCACGGCGCGTTGGGAATCATGGGCTGGAGTTGGTTACGTATGCATACAGCTTCCCGTGAAACCGCGGAAGGTGCGGCGTTGGGCGGCCCTAATTGGTGGGCTGTGGCACTCATAGCTCGCCAGGCAACACGAGCGCATTCCACCATCCACCATGCGCGCATCCTACATGTCACTGCCGTAGCCGGTCATGGCGCGTGTGATGGTCGACAATCATGGCAGAAGCATCTTTCCAATCGCAGCGACCGCCTCCGCTCGATGGCCCATACATCCTCCGCAAGCTCGTCGCAAACCTACCGCTGTCCGCTGACGGCCCCTCTACAGACGTGCGCATCACATGTGTAGAAGTATGGAGTATGCGCGCCCCTGTGTACACGTGCGCCTCGCCAGATACTGACGCGTTTAGACGGCAATCTCTACGTTGGGACATCCGCCTCCGAGATCATCCACTTCGTCCTCCTACCACCAGAGACCGACGACCCTTCCGAAGAACCTACTGCCATCATCGCCTCCCGGCTGGAGCCGCCGCACAATGACAACAGTGGGCCTGGCGTGCAGCAGATCCTGTTGCTTCCCAAGATCAGCAAGGCCTGCGTACTGTGCAACAACACCCTCTCCATCTACTCGCTACCCGAGCTGAGCCCAGACTCGACCTTCAAGCCAATCGGATGTCTTTGGGTTGGAGGTGTGGACTTGAACGAGGACGTCAATGGGTCTTCTGAGGATGGTGTAGTCGTCGTCATTGGCTTGAAGAAGCGACTACGACTGGTGCAGATATCCGAGAACTCCCCTCCAAAAGCGATCAAAGCAATCGAGTATGGAGGTTGCTTGGTTTCCGTCCGCCGAGATACTTTCTCATGCGCTGCCGATGCGCACTCGTATGCCCTCCTAGACATCGTACATCAGCAAAAGATAGGCCTGTTCCCCATCTCATCCTTGGACCCCGATGCTGGTGATGTCGGTGGAGCTGCTGAGCATTTGGCGACCGTACCTAGTGCACCCTCTAGAAGCGCTTCTTCTGCAGATCGACATCTGCGAGGCCCTGAGGAGCAGCGTGGTCATGCTCGAAGTACTAGCCTGAATGTGCTTGGTCTCGGCGGTCCTTCTAGAACAGCAAGTCCACAGCCTCCGGCGCAGCGATATGGGTTCGATGTACCAGAGTCGCTGTCCCGGGACATGTCACCAGCCCCTGCCCGTTCCCCTGCGCGAGTGCCCGTGGGGGGTGAACATTCTGAGAGATCGTCTAGTCGTCCTCGTGGCGGCGCAACCTCACCCGACAAACCTTTACCGCCACCTCCGACAGAGGAAGATAGGCCACAAGCTGAGGAGCCACCACTGCCGCAACCGCCGCCATTCATCCCGTTAAAACCTCACGTCGCATCACCAAATCCGAACGAGTTCTTACTAACGGTCGGCACAACACCTTCTGATCAAGGTGTCGGCATGTTTGTAAATCTCGACGGGGACATGTGCAGGGGTAGTATTCAATTCAGTAGCTACCCTGATGCCATCGCTGTCGACGGCTCGGGCATGGACTTCTCAGCATCTATCAGTCCCGACATGAACGCCGAAGAAGGCTACGTGCTAGCCGTCGTTCATCGAGAATCACAAGGCAACACTACCTATGGTGTCGAGGTACAGCGATGGGATGTAGATCCGAGCGCTGGCGAAGTGGATAAGTACTGGCTCAACTTCAGTCCTCTCGGATTGCCAGTGCACAGCAAAGGCTCCTACATATCGACGCCTATAGGTATGCGCACCGTAGTGCAGCCTTTCGATCTCGTGATACCAGAAGTAGGCGCAAAATTAACCGTTCGGAAACTGCAACTTACTCCGACCGAAGAAGCAGCAGAAGAGGCCACTCGGGTTGAAAAGAGCCAAGCAGCCGCCGATCGTGAGTTTGCAGAGCGCCTATCCAAACTGCAGTCTCAAATTGTCGTCTGGGCTGGTGATCAGATATGGTGGACGGTACGCAATCCACTAGTGACCCAGTTAGATTCTCGAATCGAAGCTGCGCAGTATGCGCAGGTGGGAGATGTGGCACGCATTCAGCCCGCCAGAGGGGCCATAGAAAAAGTACTAGGCGATATTCGAGGACGAGAACCGCAAAATGAGTCTGAATACCTCAGTCTCATATACATTCGTCAAAAGGCCTCGCTCATGCTCTTCATGGACGTGGTCCTACGTACAAAGGCCGACATCATCATATTCGAGAACGAGAAGCGCATCACAGAACAAGCGCTCATCGAGGGCGAGATGGATCCGCGCGTTGTCTTGAGCCTGATGCCGATTCTCTATCGAGAGGTCGTTCAAGGATCTGATGGCATACAAATTTACGGCGGCATCACGACCCTGGTAGAGCATTTTTTGCAACAGAACGACGTTTCTGCAATGCCAACAAACGTCAATGGTCCCTTTGGTGATAATCTTTTGCACTTCGTAAAGCGTTACCTTCAGTTTTGGAGACGGCGAAAAGGAATGGCCAGTGTGACCAACGACCCATCAGTGTTTAAGAGTGTCGATGCGGCGCTGCTTCATATTCTTTTACTGTTGGACCAAGGCAGCGCGAAAGGTACCTCCAGTCCAGGCGCCCAACGAGCAGAACTCTATGACCTAGTAGATAAGGAAGTAGAGTGCTTCGACCGTGCTGTTCAATTGCTAGAGCAGTTCAAGCGTCTCTTTCTGCTCAGTCGCTTGTACCAAGGTAACTGCAAGGCTTCCGTCAAGGCGTCACACGTGCTGGCGACCTGGAAACGAATCATAGAGGGCGAAGAAGACAAGGGAGGGGAACTTGTAGATGGCGAGCAGAAGGTGCGCGACTACCTACGAAAGATTCGGGATCAGGGACTTGTGGAAGAATACGGCGCTTGGTTAGCTAATCGGAACCCCAAACTCGGTGTTCAAGTATTCGCCGATGATCAGAGTAGAGTCAAGTTTGATCCTACCCGAGCTGTTGCTTTGCTCAGGGACAAAGCGCCAGGCGCGGTCAAAGACTACCTGGAATATCTGGTCTTCGGCCAGAAGAAGGTACGACTAGAAGTATAATTAGGTGACTCTCGCTAATATGGTTCACAGCACCCACAGTATGTGAATGAACTCATTGCTTTCTATCTCGACAGCGTCATCAATGAGCTCGAAAGCAACGCTGGATCGCGGGCCACGCTGTCGCAAAGCTACGAGACGTACCGTATCCTGGAGCCACCCAAACCAACGTACTTCTCCTTCATAAACGACAATGCTCTTGCTGCAGAATGGTGGCATGCGCGTATACGTCTACTCCAATTACTTAGCGAGACATCCTCTTACGATGTGAACACAGTTCTGTCGCGCCTACAGCCATATGAGCAAGAGCTGGTCTCCGAAATGATCATCTTGAATGGCCGACAAGAACGACACGAAGAAGCGCTAAAACTGCTCACCCATGGTCTCGGCGACTACAACACTGCTATAAGCTACTGTTTGTATGGTTACGCCTCCATACATCGACGTGCTACGCCAGGCGCACCCCCTGTTTCGCATAGCCAGATACCTACTCGTCCTGAGCAGTCACGCATGTTCGGACACCTGCTAAAAGAGTTCCTGACTATAGAAGACCTTTCACAACGTGTTGAGCGAACAAGTGAACTTCTAGAACGCTTTGGAGGCTGGCTCGATGTAGCTGATGTGTTGGCAATCGTGCCGGACGATTGGTCAGTAGATGTGTTCTCTGGTTTTTTGATACAGACGTTGCGGAAGCTGGTGAGAGATAAGGCAGAAAGTGATATCGTGAGGGCTCTTAGCGATGCGCAGAATAGTCAGACGAGCAGCAAATTGGTAGAGAAGAGAGACGAATATGGCGCCACATTCGAGAGGGTAGCTTAGTAGGATACATGCTCATATCGTCACGGCAAAAATCGAGCTGAAGTACATATATCAAATTTGAGTCGTTGTGGTCCTCAGTGTGGCTGTCTTGAACGATTTTGAAAGTCCACTGCGCTGGGCGCTCGCCCCTGCCTCGTAGGAGTCTTGGCATTTTCCGTACCCGAAGGCACGAGCAACGCCGGAGTGTAGCCACCAACACCGCTCACTTCACTCTTTGATTCATCTCAGCTTCAATTCAACTCGATTTGTATTAAACCATCCGCAATCGCTTAGCATCACGATGCAGCGCCGTATGGTAAGTGTCGACGATTTTTGCATCGTGTTCCGCAGTTTGGCGCTAACTGTGGCAGCTCACCAAAGACGAAGAGGCCTCAGCTCAGAGCGAGGATCTGGAGGTGCGCCGTGAGGATCAAGAGAAGATCAACAAGTTCAGTTCGCTGCATCAAAAAGAGGAGATCCTCGAGGAAGAGCTGAGGGCCAAGATTGTATGCTGCGAAACGCCGCCGTTGGTCGGTATGTAGTCTAACGTAATCGCAGAAGGAGAAGGAAGATTTGGAGGAGATCTCGGGCGAATTGGAGCTCGTCGATGAAGAGGAGAAAGTACCGTAAGTTTTTTGTGATCCGCTGCAAGGTGGGCCCTCGTCAGAGGTAGTATAGCTATCATGAAGCTAATCACAGCCACAGGTACAAAGTGGGTGACTGTTTTGTCTCTTTACCACAGCCGCAGGTTCTCGAACTCCTAAGTTCTTCCACAGAGAACATTGATGGTGAGGTAGAAGCGCTAAAGGCCAAGCTAGAAGGCATTCAAGAAGAGATGGGGGAGTTAAAGAAGGCCCTTTATGGACGGTTTGGACGCAGCATCAACCTTGAAACATAAGCAACGCAGAAGTCATGGGCTTCCAGCTTGTGTTTACCGATAGAAAATCCAGTATCAGAGTTGAACCAATGTTCAATCTGATGGCTCCTTTCCGAGATAAGGTCAAGTTCGGAATCGGCGTTCCCAATGCATGCCGTCGGACTAAACAGATGCGCAGAAAAACCCATGTACGTGACTCATTCCAGGCAAGCTTCGCAGCGATGTTCCGGTGTCCCTGGGAGCCGCGCATCGGTAAACCAGCCGATGCACAGCAACGCCCTATGGTGCTTAGTTTCCCATGGGTAGCTAAACGGTACCCGTCATCCATTCGTAGGTCAAGCCCCGCCTACTCCAAATGGGGTAACGCTGTGATCGACAGCCAAACATGCAGCCACATCATTATCGATCAAGGGCATTGTGGCACATACTAAAGCACCTCGGATAGCTGATTTAAGTGCGCGGGGTCAAGCGTTTCCACTCTAGACCTAAATCTATTTCATCGATTTCTTGATTCCCACCGTTTCTACAAAAGTACATGTCGTCCGTCCGAGGCTTTAGTGCTGATAGACAAGTCTATCGTTCGTATGGTTACCATGGACAGTGCCGATCTAGAGAGAAGTTATTCCCGGGAACAGCAAGGCTTAGGACCGGGGCATGAGGCTATCACATCGCCGGTCGCTCTTGTCCGGAGTTTTACATCGAAGAGTCAGAAAAGCTCAAGAAGTTGGCAGAGCTCGAGGAATCACAGTATGCATGCTCATTCTCAGTGTGATGTTGGGGCTAGTTTCCACTAACGGGTCAACATAGCCGGCGTAGAAAGTTCGCGTGCTGCGCGATTGAGGGAACTTGGAAAAGATGTCGACGATTCTTCCGATGCTGAAAAGGAAGACGCAATTGAGAAAGTTGCGTCGCGAACACCATCAACGCTTAGTTCGCCCGGAAGATCAAATGCTTCTTCGGTAATGTCGAGCGTTGACGATAGCCATGCGAGTGGCCGACGTGTTATTCGCTTTGAAGACGGAGATCCCGAAAACCCCAACAACTGGGGTCGTGTGAGTTGATGTGCGGTACTAAAAGCGATACAAGGCTGATGAGAAATGAAGTGGAAGAAGATCTACGCCCTTCTCGTGGCCATCATGAGCGGCAAGTAACCCCGTCCGACTTTTATAGCTAGGAGAGCTGACCTGTACATAGTCATGAACAGTACCATGACCTCGAGCCTAGCAGCCGGTGCTGCAGTCCCTATATCCCGTCACTTCAACGAGTACGATGAGTATAAACTCATTTTGCCGACTTCAATGTACCTTGTCGGCTATGCATGCGGTCCTATGCTTTGGGGCCCACTGTCGGAATCGTACGGCCGCAAGGGAACTATGGTAATTTCTTTCGGCATTTTCACAATCTTTTCGGTCGCTTCAGCTCTTGCACCGAACTTTGCAGCGCTAGTAATCTTCAGATTGCTGGTTGGCGTGGGAGGTAGCTGTGCCATCAGCGTTGTTGGTGGTATATGCGCGGACATATATCACAACCCCAAGTATCGTGGTAGGAGTATGGCTATCTTCATGGTAAGATGATTTCGCTAACAACGAATATCCTATGCTCATCTTTTACAACAGGCTGCGACAACCTTTGGCCCGATTCTAGGCCCCTTGGTATCAGGCTACATTGCAGTCGTCTCTTGGAGCTGGGCCTTCTGGGTTGGAGCTATATTCGCCGGCGCAACATGGCCGTTGTTCTACTTCTTTGATGAGACATATGGTCCAACAATCTTGAAGCGTCGGGCTCATCGGTTACGCAAAGAAACTGGTGATGAAAGGATCGCAGCACCGCTGGAATTAGAGAAGACAGATTTGAACCACATCGTCACTGTCATCTTGACTAGACCGTTGCGCATGATCTGCTTCGAGCCTTTGGTATTGTTCACTTGCTTGTACCTGAGTTATGCCTGTAAGCCAATTTTCTTCGCTGATACGCGACGGTAGCGATGTGCTGATACCTCTCTTCCAGATGCCATTTTTTACATATTTTTACAGTCCTATCCCATCATATTCCAAGGCATCTATCACTTTAATGCTGGAGAGACCGGCATTGCATTTCTCCCCATTGGCGTCGGTGCAGTCATCTCTGCTGGTATCTACCTTTCTTGGGACTGTACGTATCTTCCACATACTAACTGTGTGTGAAACGTGCACTGACTTTGCACGTTGAACATTAGGGTACCTGGCACGCTCTCAACGTCTTAATCGGCCTTGGTCACAGAATGAAGAGATGCGTCGTCTACCTCTAGCATGTATAGCAGGTCCATTTTTCGTCATCAGTGCGTTTTGGCTTGGCTGGACAAGTAGAGAAGGCATACATTGGATCGTGCCTACTCTTGCCGGCATCTTGTTTGGCATGGGTTACCTGTGTCTATTCATGGCGCTACTCAATTACCTCGTTGACGCATACGAAGTTTTTGCTGCAAGGTAAGTTGTAACTATACCAAATATATACCAGACTTCACTAAACCGTATCTTCACAAATGTAGTGCAATGGCCGCCGCCTCATTATCCCGGTCTTCTTTCGGTGCTGTGCTGCCGTTCGCTGCAAAGCCGATGTATAGGGCTATGGGTGTGGCGTGGGCGACGAGTCTACTAGGCTTCTTTAGTCTGGCGCTTTGTGTTGTGCCATTTGTGTTTATAAAGGTAAGTTACGGTTGTACGTCATTCACTCGAGACATGTACTGATCTCATGTCTTTGACTTTGTAGTGGGGTGGTACGATGAGGGATCGAAGTAAATTCTGTCAGTATTTGAGGCAGAAGAAGATGGAAGAGGAGAAAGAGAGGGAGAGCGAAAGAGCGAAGGAGAAAGAGCGAGCGAGATTGATGGCCAATGAAGTCAGCGCTGAGACAAACGAGATCAAGGCGAAGGAAGATGTGTAGGCTATGATTGAGTTGCAGCATCTACATGCTTCACACTGCAAACGACGACGTCATAGTAGCTGGCTGTAGACGCTCCTCACGCTGTACTTAAGGACCACACACCACGTAGCTGGTTCGGGTCTCAGATGTCAGCTTGCTTACTTAACTATATCAGAGGACTCTACGGCACTACACTCATCCTAACCCGCATATAGAACACCGGTCACTGTCGGCCACAAGAACTCTTTTGTTTCGCGATGTTAGAACGTGATAGGAGGTGGCGAAAAGATCAGACCGACAAATCACTCAACGATAGAATCTCCTCACCTCGATATATCTCATTCCAGCATAGACAATAGCAGCAAAAGAGAAAGCAAGCCATGTGCCGATATCGCCACCATAATCACCAATCATCGCTGCAACTGGCCCAGTGTACAAGGTCTGTCCCGTACCAACTACAGCGCCTACCACACCAAAACAAAACGACAAAATGGCTGCGATGCCCATTGATAAGGTCCTCGGATCATTCCAGCCGGTAAGACCGTACCCACGTACTGGTCGAAAGATGACCGATTCCTCAAAAATGAGGACGAAGTAGACGATGGACCAGTATCCAATGACAGCGCCCGAGTTGGAGATGATATCGTTGAGGGAATTGTATCCTACGCACGCAACCACACTATGAGAAACATCAGCTGGAAGCCACGACAGACGAAGCAAGTATTAGGGAGCTTACATGGTCACGACAACACTGAGGAATGTGTAGATGAACCTTGGTAGCTTCGCTGGCCATGTGCCAAATAATTGCATCGAAAAATCGATCGAATACAAGTTGAAGACGTTGTTACTCATCATACTAAACGACAGCACGAAGAGAAGCAAGTATCTAACGTTTCCGAGTGGTCGTAGCACGTACTCGATCAGCGCGGCAGACTAACCATCGCTATTGGCGAATGTAGTGGCCCACTCCGCATTTGACCAGAGCGCTGACGCGAATCCAGCACCACAGATTATAGCGAAAGCTGGCAGCATCCGGATCCCGGAGGCGGCAATGGCGAATATTTCCCACGACGGTGTTTCTACGGGAAAGTATACATAGTAGTCTGCTGAGGCGGCCACCCAACTTGAACCACAACTAAGAATTATGGCTGCAAAGGAAAGCCCAAGGCTAACTTGTGTACTTCTAGATTCGATGATAGGGGAGGCCTTCATAGTGAAGCTTTAAGCTCCAACGGCGTAAAGGCTGATGAAAACCTACACACGGTTAGCATGTAGGCTTCGAAACATGATCAGCTTACCCACAATCATGAGAAATATCCAGGCTATGGGTTCATAATAACGAACGTAGCTGAATCCAGCCGTCGCGATGGTCCAGCTTAAAATACCGATGATGAAGATGCCTCATATAATACGGAGATTTCTTTTTGACATCACACCAAGCGTTTGACCTCCTTGTATACAGGCCTGAAATCCGAATATCATCTCGGTCAAAATGTTGAGAACAAACATGATCATCTTTGCACAATGACCGAATGTGTAACGCGAATTCACGAGGGCGCGACGGCCATGTTTTTTGCCAAAGGTCGTCAAGTATCCAGAACAGCATGTACCAAAACCTAAAAGCGTCCATGTGATAGCGGCAGTCTGCCTATATGTAAGATTGAACACTGACGGCCCTAGAAAGCCAACCGTGAACGTAGATATTGTCAGACCTGCGGATGCTCTGCGGGAAATCAGGATGGTTTGGGCTTTCAAAAGTACAAACGTACCATGTCAAGCACAGACCCCATATCGATTGCTTGGAACGTTCCTGTGGAAGTACATGCTGAAAACCTCTCGATTCGATCCCATATCCTTCCAACCATCTGGAGATTGCACCGAGAGGGCCGGTATACGTGTCAGAGATATCAATTGTGTGGCCTTCCTCAGTGGATATGGAGTTATCGACACCAATGCTCGTCGTCTTCTCCTGCGTGTTCACTCAGTTTCGTCGCTCAAGATCAGCCATTTTGAAGAGACGAGAATCGTTGCAGTGAACATCTTGCCGGACTTCGCACCTGGCTTATAAGCTGGCAGTAGCTGTGCCAACTTCAAATATCAGGAACTCTGGTCGTCCCGAGGTAAGACGTACTCAGTAGACCTGAGCTAGGAATAGGGCATGGAGGATTAGGTGGAGATAACGATAATTGATATCTGCTGATATGCAGCCCGACTGCCACTAGTCGAATGCATTGTGCCCAGGTATACATCGATGAAGAGTTTCAAATGCTTTTGTTCATTGACCTGAATGAGGAAGTCGCCAGCGGTTTTAGACCAAATGTACCTCGTATCATCGAGCCAATGCTCGACTCTGTAACACCCAACGTGAGCTTTTGACCAGCCGGGAGTATCTCTCTTTGGCCGGTCGACTTCGCTCTGTATTACATAGCCTCCAGCCAATATTCCACCTGTTCTGCTATTCTGAGAGACAATCAAGCTTTGCCACATTGAGGCAGTCGTACAGCATCAGTGCTATCAGTCTCATGGATTATCGAGGTATCATGGTTTGTATTAGGAAAAGGGGAAGCCCGCTAATGTACTTGTCGATCGGACGAGAACGTCCATATCGGTAGAGTGTGAGCATATGAGGCATAAAGCATTTGGTACGTATCATGGTTAGCGTCAGTGGGGTCTTGATAATGAACAGGAAGCCCGATTGACTCTCACTTTTCGTAGGCATGTGGCTACCAGTATACCCATCTTGACACTTCATGCATTTTGTCTTCCGCTGATGCCTCTATCTAACAATCCTGTGCCAACAATCACAACGATGACGACGTTCCCCACTCCCAACATCCCGTTTACATACTCCTGCAGCGTCGCTGTCATCAATCCCGGACGAGATCCTTGCAGGTATCAGGGGAGAGGAATTCGTATGGGAAGGAACGCAGCACATTCCTAACTTCAAAGACGGGTCAACCGCATACTGGCAAGAATGCCTTGCACTCGCACCCCGTCTCATTCGCGTCTTTGCTCTGGCCCTCGACCTCGATGAGGACTACTTCGACGATCTGGTCACACATGTAAGTGTGTCTTTACAAGATGCATGTGTGACATAATCTGATTCCATGCCTCCGCATTCAAGCCTGGAGACGATGGTGTATGTAACTTTTACGCGGGAAAATCCCCTGCTGAAGCTGCAGTGTCCAAGGATGTTGGGCTGGGCTCTCACAATGACCGTCTGTGCTTTACTTTGCTGTGGCAGGACTTGACTGGCGGCCTACAAGTGCTGACTCGAGGAGGACGGTGGACTGGGGCGACACAAATTCCTGGCACGTTTGTGGTCAATATCGGATACTTCCTTCAGCGTGTAGGCAATGATCGATCTGTGAGCACCGTGCATAGAGTGTCTTCGAGAGCTCAAGAAGATCGCATCAGTATGCCTTTCATCTTTGGCTTCGATGTCAACGAAAAGGTTGGTGTACTAGACAGTTGCATCGCGGAGGGTGAGGTAGCAAGGTATGAGCCCGTGAGCTGTGGAGAGGTATGACCAGACCATGCTACGTTATTCCAGCTGTTCGTGCTAACATGCTTCTCAGTGGGTGCGGACTGGATCCAATCAGTTGGACTCGAGTAAAAATGACTGGAATATAGCTATCGCGGAAGCTCGGGCTGCGAACACCCAGGAAAGTAGTTGATGTTGTAGAACCAGAGCAAGGCGTTTTTTGACTCCTCATATGTCAACATGAGTACTGAGCAGCACCGACACTACTTGAATCTTGATCGATCGACTCGTCCCATGGTCTTGATTGTATTTAAGACTGATGGCCTGTGACACAACATACATAAATATAGATTTGTTGATCTCCAGTGTTCCAAAGCCTTGGGAAACCCCAGAGAAGCTCGCAATTGCCTTGCTCATCAACACAACCTGATCAATCCAAGGTTGTCCTTAATATAATCTGATCACATGATGCTCAGTGCAAAGTCGATAAATCAAGCCAACTAGCAAGAAGGGTGAATATACCTCTAATTAGGGAGATTTCTAGCCGAGAAAAAGTTGTAGATGTAGAACTTCTAGTCATTTGAGGGAGTCATCAGGAAAGTACGAAGTTGTCAAACAATATGCAGAGAAAGGAAGAATCTGAAGTAGATGCTTCTGACGCAGGAGTAGATAAAAATGCGGGTATATTCATGACATCGTGCTGAGCTTGGCGTCTGGAGCTACCTCATAACCGGTGGTCTTGCCTCCTTGTTGAAAGCCATCCTGCTGCATAACCATTCGACCGCCTCCTGCACGCCAGTTCCTGTGAGAGCACTGCACGGGAGTACTCTGCTGTCCCTCACATTGCCACCCTTTTCTCCCTCGAACACTCTCCTCACAAAGCCTTCTTTGATCCGGACTACTTCGACACAATCTTCACGATCTTGTTTATTGGCGAGTATTAGAATGGGAACGCCGCTAGCATCTTCGTTGGCCAAGACGCTCTCTAGAACCATCTTGCACTCGTCCAGGCGCCCGATATCCTCTATGCTTGCTGCATTGTTCGCGCTCATATCAGCAAGAGTAGCGTTGCCGACATCGCTGCTGTCTATGACGAAGACGATAGCATGGCAGCTACTGTAGTAGGATTGCCACAGCCCACGAAGGCTGTGTTGGCCACCAACATCCCATATCTTGAGGTATATTGGTGGATTTGGAGGAGGAAGCGCGATGGTAGCAACATTCTGTCCGACCGTCGGGACAGTTTTGAGGTTGGGGTGGGAAGGCGTGTAGGTGCCTTTTATCTGCTCAAGCAGCGTTGTCTTGCCGGCATTGTCGAGACCGAGGAGAAGAACCGAGTACTCTGGGGTCTGTTAGACTTGTCTTGGTGGTTGCGGAGACTTGAATGCGCACCTTCCTTACTCGTGGCATGGAGATATATGGACTTGAAAAGGTGATACATATTTTGCGCGACGCGTTCAGTCGGCGCGCGCTTCACATGGTGGACGGGTGACGATCATGTACGGCGCGCGGTTGATCTGGAACGTGTCGTCCGCTATCGATAAGCACCGAGCGACTGATCAACACAACGGCATTCTTCATTCCGCCTGAGCTTTCATCACAGGCTCTACAAGTTGAGCTCTGTCTGGGCGGCGATTGGATCATATTGCAAGCGATTGGTGTTGTCGCGCTTCTACTGTGTAGGATTCACCACGTTTGACGACTGATGGCGCAAGGGACCTTGCGAATGTAATGTCCAGGAATAGTCAAGGACTCGTCTGATGTGACGAGCTGCGGGTGAAGTTAGTCTAAGATGTTGAGTGTGGTGCTGCTATGTCGTGGGCTACGTCGTTCACTCATGTTCTTCTTTGGCTGATTTCAATCGCTTTCCGCACAAGAGCAGGAGCCAATCGAGTGAAGCGTGCATGTGACATGCAAGAGCGAGACTACGGGAACTCTAGCCACAGCATGACATCACCTGGGCACCGCCATGGTGGCACCTTGACCACATAGCAGAACTGGCCCCAAGTAGCGCCTAGACGCGTATATTGTGTTGCCGCGGGTGCCGTGCATTACGTGCAGCGATTGCTGGCAGTGCATCTTATCTGGAGGAAAGTGAGAGGTTCGGCGCTAAATGCCCGACTGGTGCAGTTGATCGCCGGGAAATCGGACGTCCAACGAGGTCATCTGCAGCTTGCTCCCACACACATGCACACATCAGAGGGGCACGTCCAGCACTGTGATGCATCTTTGCTCGCACTTAATAGTTGCCATCGTACGGCGGCCGATTCGTGACGTGGGCAGATAGATAGCCTCGCAGTTGACTGTTTGAGCTGTGACCATACGA